TGATGCGTAGATCGGTGTCAGCGATGATGCATCCAACACGATGGCGTACACAATTACCACTGAAAAAGTTGATAAATAGATTAATATGATAGCAAGAAAATAATCTCTTATCGACAATGTGAATTTTTAAATAAGCTTTCTAGGCGCAGTGGTTTTGGATGATCTCTCGAAAACTACTATTCGATGTCATATTAATCCATGTCGCAGATAACAATGTTGTATAACTAGAAAATTGATTAGTCTATTGTTTTTTATAGATCTAATATTCAAATCTTCTTTTTGAGAAAATTTATAATACTATATATATTTCATTCAGAACACAAAGGAGAATAGAGTGTATTTCAAACATTAACTTTTTCTAACGAAAAACGAAGAGAAAGTTGCATTGCATTAGTCTATTCAATCGGATGGTTTCTTCTAAAGATATCGTATGCCTAAAAGCTAAGTTATTTGTTTGAGCTTTTATGTAAAAGTAACTTTTTTTTTGCAAACATGTTATTTTCAGAATGAAAACATTCGTTTGAGTTGAAACTTCCAGAATATCATAAAAATTATGAGAGTTATTATTGAAGAAAATTTCAGACCACAACTTCTTGTTACAATTTTTCTTGTGATATCCTGGAATAGGCTAGAAGTTCAGTAAAAGGACCATAACTGAAAAAGAATCTACCCTATGAGTTCGATTTATGAGCAAAATATGAGTTTCAACAACGATTATCAGTCGGATAGGTTTACTCGTTAGTCTGTAATACTAACTGTGATGCTGTTATCCAAGCCAACATTAAAAAATATTGATCCCAACTTGGACACAATAATTTTGTTGTTGTTAATTGTTGATCTTTTGAATCGATTGATAATAAATCTGCTAATTTCTTTTCCAAATTCATTCGATCATTTGTATCATTAATCAATCGTAAATGACAAATATCCATACATTTGTGTAATGGTGATATGTCTTTACTATCTAATTGAAGATTTTCTAATATCTTATCAATACATTGTTCATTAGAATTTATTCCAAACATTAAATAATCATCTAATTGTACAAATTTTTCTAAGGAATTAATTATTGTATGTTTTTGACGTTGAAATCGTATTATTAATGGTCCTTCTATAGCAATAGGAAAAAATTGCGGATTATCATGCATTTCGATCATTGCTTTTAATGAATTGATACCCACAATTACAACATTTTTTGGCCATGTTTCTTTCGCCTTTGAAAGACATTCTTCAGCTGCATGATCTTTCTTCTTCTTAAAATCTTTGTACTCGAGTATAACGAAATCATATTGTTTATGAAGAATATCAGCAATTAAGTGTTTACCACTTGACAATGAACCGATTAAGCCAATTATTAGCATAATAATTGATTATTGAAAAATTCTAATACATCTACAAACTAAATAAAATAAGACGAAAAAGTACACGATATCAATGAAATGATTTACTATTAATGATAATACAAAAAATAGGATCAAATAAATTTCTACATATTCTCTAGAACTGAAAAACGAGATCATTTAGAATAACGTGAAAATGAATTATATGTTTTTAGCTTTGATTTATTTTTGTAGAGAAGAATGAGAAAATATTTCATGTTAACTTATCATGTAATCGAAATGAATTAATTTTACTACCTAATCTTAACAATAGAAAATTATTAATTTAATTATAATTATCAAAATCAGAAAATTATTGGTAACGAAGGTCAATAAGCCTCTATAGCTCAGTGGTAGAGCGCCAGTCTTGTAAACTGGAGGTCCGTAGTTCGATCCTGCGTGGAGGCATTAACTTTTTTTTCTTTCCTTTTCATTTCTGACATACGGATGATGCTCGTTGTATATAAGACAATCTATTGTAATGCTAAAAAAAAAAATCATGCCTAGCAAACTATATTATAGTGACTAAGTAACTGTTCATATCTACGATTAAAATAAACTATATGCACTAAATACGAATGTATAAGAAGCTTATCCTAACGTCTATGAACCAAACAGGTTGCATTCCATATTTCTTTCTTTTATATACATACCTTTTTTTTTTTTATTATACTATACACATGTATTAAGAAGAAACATCAAGTGAATACTGAAACACAGATTATTAATTTTAAAAAAAAGTAAACGCAAAAATTTTTGTTTTTTTTTCATCTCCTAAAAAAATATGGTACGATTTTTTTTTATCAATTAAAATTGAAAATGTATAGTTTGTGACATTCATAATAAATTTCAAACCTATTTTAATAACATCATTCGTTATCTTATATTTAAAAAAATATTTCCGTATCTAATCACTAATAATAAAAAAAAACACTCATCTTCAAATTATTTCTGTTTGACTCTAAAATTTCTATACAACATGCAGCTATTAATTTAAATTCATTCTATTCTAAAGAAAATATTTCTACTTTGAAATTGTATTCATTACAAAATATATTATACGACATACCGTTAAATGCAAAATCAGGTGAACAAGTGCAGTATAGTATTGTTAGGAGTACATATGGTAATATACGAAGGTAAAACAGTGTAAAGACAAAAATATGTCCTTGCAGAGTATGTTTTTCTTTTTTAATTAAAGAAACGAAGAAGAAACAACTCAATCAAATTACGGCACAATGTTTATGAGTTGTAAAATAATTAATAACAAATATATGATCAGAAAAAATATTTTGGCCTCTTTTTGTTTGTGCAAAAAATTAAATACAACAAAAAAAAAGAGGATTTTATGATAGACAATGAATATTTTAGGGTTTTTGCTACAATTAGTATAATATATGCAACAAGTATTTTCTTATATAATTGATTCAGTAAGGTTATTTAGTGCTTAATTAATTGTACTAAGTGAAGAAAAATATTTTTCAAAGATATCATGTCTCTCATTGTCGAACAACATACAAAATTTTCAATTGGTTGCTAGAATGATTGAATAGTTAGTATCGATCAATATCAAAGTCAAAGCCATTGAGCTATTGCCTAGTACGGACATCTAACATAAAGAAAATGTTCTATAATGAATGATTTAAGAATAATTTATTATTGATTTATTTGCAAATGTTTTACTGAAACTTATCCGCACTAATTTTCATGTTTGCAAAAGTGGAATTCGTATTATATCTAAGTACACGAATCTTCAAAGCAATATTGAAATATTGATTCAAAATACAGTAGCATCATTTTACCGAGATCTATCTACAGACCATACTGAAAAATAAAAGTCTACTATTATTTTATTTATATTTTCTTTCAAGATTGATAACATTTTTCAAATGCATATTGATTTTCTTATATCATATACTTCAGTAATAACTGTAATAAAATACACAATTGTATGTAAAATAGTATGAAAGAGTTTCTATGATTGATGTCTTCTGAAGATATTCAGTTGAAATTCTAATATTAATTTAGTTAATAATGTCAAACGTTGATGAATGTTATCATCATTGAATTCAATAATGTTTTGATGAATTGAATGCTGTTCATAGCACTAAAATTGCAGCAGAAAGTAATAATTAGCATTATCAATATCTATAAGACGTTCTCTCACAAATCTTCTAAATGAAAATGTTTAAATATTGAACGAATTTCACTAAACTTTTCTATAAATTTGACATCGTTCATAGTATTAGAATTCTTTCATTGGTATAAAAATTATTTTTGAACGTCTCTAACTGTTCACTTGTTGAAATATATTTCACACAAATACTGTTTCAAGTATTTTTCATACTTCGAGTCGCTCCAGTTCGGAATAATAATTTACAAATATATTCACTATATCGACAAAGTTTGTTTCAGTTTCCCACCTAAGTGAATTTCTATTATTTATTATATCACGTTAGAATTCTGTATTGAATCAGGTCGATAAAACCAACAAGTTCTCTTCTGTGAACAATAATTTGAACAGCTCTTGTATATAACTAATTCGATCTGTATGATCAACATACGCATCGAATCAACCATAAAGAGAGACTACCATAAGTGACGTTTCTAGTAGCAGATTTTTCGGATTTACTTAACCCGACTCGATGCAGTACAGTTAGAATGATTTAGGCTGCAAGGTGCTTATGCTGACGAAATTGAAATCTTGACTGAACTTTTCAACAAAATTTTGTAATCTCCCCAGTTCAACTTGAAAGTTAACTTCAGAATTTTGACTTGACACTTTGCAGAAATAATTTTCGTAATGGGATTATCAGTTCATTTTGAAAGTTTCAATTGTTCTTGTTAGTTCTATTACGCGATATGAATGTTGAAAATTCTGTTGTTTAACAAAGAAAATTTTTTGCTTATATTCATATTTCAAGACCGTAACAATTAAAAAGGCTAAAACTTTTAAAATGAATCAGTCCTATTGAGAACATTATTTGTACACAGTTTCAAGTTGAAACTGGAAAGTTAACCTTCAAAATGACTACAAGATTTTGCCGAAAAGTTCTGTAAAAAGTCTATTTCTTAGAAATCTTACGAGTAAAAATATTCTAGATAAGTATAGATTATTAGCATCATGTGTGAAGAATAATTACACAGAATACGAGATTATTCGCTATAGTTATTGTAGAAATTTTCCTCTGGTTCTCGTTTTCTGTCCACTGTGCCATCCGCAAGATTGAGAAAAAAGTTTTTTATTTTTTCCTAGAAAAAACTTATACTCTATGTAAGATAATAACAGTATTTTTCAACTAGTCGCTACAGCAATCGGAGCCATAAAAGACTGACTGTTCGGCAATGTAAACATTAAGAAAGCTACTCTAACTTCTAGCTCACTTCTGATTGTAACAATAATTATTAAATTTTATGACAAAATTAGTAATTTTAGCTTTTAGAATTTGATAATCCAATAAGGTCAGACTGTTTTCTTCCCTATAAAAAGTTTCTATTCAAGAATATCGATACCTTTACTTCATTTGTTTTAATTCACAGTATTCACAAATGAAGAAAAACGAAATCTGTACAGAACATGTATAAAAAGAAAAATAAATATCAAACAAAAGTTAATTAGATTTAATCCCATAGTTTTACAACATTGTCCCATCCAGCTGTTAGAACTCTTGATTTTTCACGCCAATGCCATTTAGCATCAATACATACATCATCATGTGCTTTAATTCGTTCAAATATACGTGTTGTTTTCCAATCCCAAATAATTAAACATCCATCTGCATCACCACTTATCAAATAAGACATATCAGGTGAAAAATCAAGACCACATGCATAACCAGATACCTAAAAAAAACAAAATCAAAGAAATATTGATTTATTTCTATTTCAACTAAACAATTATTTACCATATGTCCTTTGAATATTTTTTTACTTTTCCATCGAAAGTTTGTCAATGGTTCCATAATTCGAATTTGATTATCCATCGATTGAAATGCTAAATATTTACCTGAAATTATAAATAAAATTTACATTAAAATAATACCAAACAAACAAAACCATTTCGTGATTGTGCAACAGCAGGCATAGAATGCATTGTTGGATCAGCAATATATTTAAAATCAACAGGAATATTTCTTTAAACAAAATAAGTAAAGATCCCAAATATCAACAAACAATATATTTTTTCTTTACCATTCCCATACACGTATATTTTTATCATCAGATGTTGAAACAATACGACGATTTCGATCAACAAAATGTAACAGTATTAATAGCACCTAAATGTCGATCATATTCTCGTACAACATGACCACTTCGAATATCAAACTAAATCATAAATAAAAAAAAAAAAATGAAATACTATATAATAAATTGATAAAAATTTATACAAAGAATTTTCTTATCGGACATTCCACATATAATAAATGTTGTTTATGTTCACCTGGATTAAATGATACACAATAGGGTATTTTACGCATTGAAAATTTACTTTTTACTTGACCTAAATTAATGAAAAAAAATTTAACTAACAATTTTTCAACTAGAAAATAAAATTCATACCAGTTTCTGTATCTCATAATTTAACCATTTTATCATATGAAGCAGAAAGAAATTCAGTGCCTGTATTATTAAAATTAACATCACGTACAGCTTGACTATGTCCAGCATATGTTCGAATACAACGACGTTCATTATAAAATCCCCACAACTACAAAAAAAAAGCTGTTGGCATAATCTCTGCAAAATTCGAATGTGAAACACGACATAACTGTTGTTGCTCATCACAGAGAGATTGTTGTAGCCTATCTATATTGGGACACATTTCTTACGATCTTTAATTGTATATCAACAACATCCGTCAGTCTGTACGATAGGAGAGTTTAAACTTTTATCTCTATTCATCAATGCTAGTGCCCGACATGACCACTGTAACTCAGAGTTGTAACCGATTGAGTGTTTTTGAACTGGGGGGGGGGGGGGGGCTTCAAAAGGTATTTATTTTCCTTTTTGCACTCAGATTTTTACAAATCTCTACAAAGAAATATTATGTGATAGTCCTTTATACCTACTAGATTTCTCTAAGAGGAATATATGATATTTTTATATCTATAGCGGGAAACAAAGAGTCATTTATCCATCAACTGATTGCTAAACTTCAAATTTTGAATTTTCACACACTTAACATTTTCAAACAAACCTAACATTTCTCTTTGAACAACGATCTAAACTTCAATTTGATCTTTACCAAAATGTATCTCATATAAGTTTAGTTCTAGTAACAAAGTTTTCATTGTAATTTAAAAAAAAAATGCAATATACTTCAATTAAAGAAATACAACCGTGTGAATAAATAGAATAAAATAAAACTAATAGTTCTTGAAAACAATACTGTTTAATTATTTTGATAAGAGAAAGTAAACTTGTTCTCAGACAACTTTATCGGAGAAAAATAGCATATCTATAAAATATGTTCCAATCAATCCAAACCGATTACAACTCTGCCGTGACTCACAGTCGTGAAAATAGCCATACATCTTGTATTTCAACTAATGAGTTAGATGTTGCACAACATAAATGACTTCGTCTTTTGTATAGATCCAGAAGCTGCAATGACTTCGCATGCAATAAGTGATGTACATAAAATCGAGTCTAACACAAACAATCCCAGAATGAAGTCAAATTTTAAATGTATGATCCATCTCATTTTCTTTCGAGAGGTTAACAAGAATATCGCTGTTGAAAAGTAATTGTAGTAGGTTTATCTTTGACAATATGTTTCCAGTTACAGCGAAGTTGTTCATTATTGCCTTGATCAGATGAAGTTTGTCAATTAATACTTAAATAGTTTTGTTTTCTTTCATTTTACTTCAACACATTCTGGTCACTCTTTTACTCATAAAATTGATATTTATTAGACTTTTGTCAGTAATAGATATAGTTTACGTAAAGAGATCCTAACAAACTAAAACTAATTTCCGTAATCAAAAAAAAAGCTTTTGTCAGGCCGAGCACTAATTCAATACATCTTTTAGACCGTGTTTCACAAAAAACAAAATAAGAATTCTGTTTGTATTAAATTAAATTGTTTCTTATTTATTAGACTTACTTTAACTTTGCAATCCATTGAACAAGTAAGAAAAAGATGAGCAGAAACAGGAAAATAATGAATTTTTTGTACAGCTTTTGTATGTCCTTTGTATATATGTATACATTGTTTTGGAATAAAACATCGTTGTGGTCCATGTTCTGAACGTAGATTAACACCAACATCTTGTGGTATATGAAGAAATGATCGACCTTGATAATCATATGGATCTTTAATATGTAATGTTGTTGATGATGAATCTTCAGGTTCGTTATTCAATGTTGTTGATTCAGGATCACGAGTAGACATTGGTGCATTACGATCTTCAAATGTAGGTCGTTTAGATTTGCGTTTTTTCGCTAGATATTCATCGATTTCTTTTTGTTCTTCCTATATAATTAATAATACAAAAAAAAAAAATTAGTTTAGAAAAAATTTATTGAATAAAATTTACTTCAGATGGACGTGATACAGTAATTTCATCGACAAATGGAGCCCATGGACCATGAAAACCTTCGACATCACTTGGATCATTATTCTTTTCTTTTTTTAGTTTTTCATCAGAACGTTTTTTACTTGTTTTTTCAAATATAGTCATGCCTTGATTTATTTCAGCACTAGTTTGATCACCAATCATTTGTAATATATTATAATCTCCAAGACTTGGATCTGCTGCATAACCAAAACTATCGAATGTTCGTCGTTGATTTTCAAATTGAAAATCACTTAATGTTGTCGATTCTGCATAACCATTTAATAGATTCTTATAACTACGTTGTTGTTGTGGGGCAAATTTGGATTTATTGGACCAAACTAAAAAAACAAAACGAATAATAAATCACATTTTTTTTATATTGTTGTTGTTCTTTTTTAAACTTACTACCGGTGCATACATATCTTCAAATTTTGGATTATATAAAACTTCTCTTGTTTTAATATCGAGAAAACTACTTGTATCTGTTGGCTAAATAAAAAAAAAGAGAAATATTATTTTATAATCCTAGTGTATACTTTTTATTAAATATCTAATCTTTGTCTTATTCAATTATTTCAACATATTTAGTTTAAAGCAAATATGACGATTCTAATTCTTAAAATCTCCATTAAAATTCTCAATATTAATTATCTATGAAATATATAATAGTCTTAGTAACAATTTGAAAGATTTGTTCAATGCAATAATGTTATATTGTAAATGTACAAATTATCAATGCAAAACATTATGAATAAATTTTAACTCTTTACTCTCCACTGACCATTGAAGTGATCATCTGTAGATCGATTACAAGAACTAAACGATACATTGAATTTCAAAGAATTCAAAAATATATTTTATAGTGAACTTCATAAAGCCATCCATTGGCAAAAAAAGTTCGTTGCATTTCCAAAATATCGGACGTGCAAAATTCATCATTTTGAAATATTTTAAACAAAAATATTCTCTCCTTTCGCAGAAGTAAAGATATTTGAAGCTTGTTGTATGATATAGATTGATAAAGAAGTCTATTAGTAAATAATATAAGTTTTCAAAGTTCCATAATTGTTTGATAAATTATAGGTAATAAGCCAAAAATGGATAGTGTTATCACGATAGAGCATACAAAGGACAATTCAGAATAAAGTTAATGTAGATATGTATTATAAATTTCATTACGTGCAAAATTAAAATAATATTTAATATGAATAAAATATTTTTAGTTGTTATAGAATTTTTCACAGAAAAATAGCAATATATATCAAAAACACATGTATTATTTCAAAATTAGTTATGTATTTACTCCTTAAGTTGCTTTGCATCAAAAGCAGGACATCAGATGAATTTGACTGAAGATGTGCAGGATAGAATAAGATTAAGGTAAGGTAGGACGAGAATAATAGAATCAACGAAGTTGTGATTTGAGATATGTTGTTATTCGGTTTTTTGATCATTCTCACATGATTATAGAATGATGATCATCTTTGAGAAATATCTTTCACCTTACCATTATTTGAACGGATCGAATAAAAACAGTTATTACATTGAATATAATAAGATTAAGTCGATAGAGAAGATAGCTAAATCATTATTTTGTATACCAGCTAGTTCACATCAAAGGAAAAGCAAGTTCAGTACAACTAGAAGAATTCTCAAAGCGTAGGAACGAAATTTTAATGATGATTTATTGTTCAGTAGAAGTTGCAGCAAACAATTATACTTTAATGCTTTGTAATAGAAAATAAAATGAACCTCAAAAACGTGATCCTGTTTACCATTCTCAGAGTCTTTCAACTCGATTATGATTAAGAGATAGTGAGAAATAAATTTCATCAGGTAGAGTTGAATGAAAATTAAAATATTTTTCTCAGATAGAGTATGAAAAAAAGCTTACTCTACACTTCTCTAGATCTGACCACATTATGAGCATATTATAGAGACTAATACTATATTTATAAGATAATTTTATCTACTTTAAAATGTATGATGAATTTGGAGCCATTGATGAAACATTTTTATTGAAGTATCCATTGAAGGTTTTTGACATCAAAATTTTGTTTGAATGAAAACTCTTTGTTTTTTTCAAATACTCAAGTTATGATGAAATAAGAACACATGAAGTTTGAATATTCTTTAAATTAAAATAATTCTTTTTGTTTGTAAAATTTTTATCTGTCTTATTAACCTGAATGGCAATAACGGGTGCTAAATCAAGTTTAATTCGTGACATAACAGAAAATGTTGGATCTGTTATTACGGCTACTTGATCAGCGATTTTCTCTTCACGTATTATTGTTGTACTTTTCTCATTATCATCATCATCATCATGATATGATGCTTGGATAGTAGCAAGAGCCATCTAAAAAAAACATATATATACAGTGGATCCCAAAATTGTTCAACAAGATGTAATTTGAATTCTTTTTCATAGTCTTAAGTGCTAGAAAGAATCCAAATAGTGATTTGAATAGAGAATATTGTTGCCAACAAGAATTCGAGAAAATGATAACCATCATGAATTTTCCCAAAGTAGGGTTTCTGGAAAACCTAAATCCTAATTTTTCAACATCCAAAAGCCACAACAGAAAACTTTTTTAACAGTCTAGAATTATAGAGCAGCCAATTCTCTGCAAAATAAGACGTCTCCGAGCTTTCTACGAGCTTCTTTCCAAAAGTTATAAGCATCACAAAAATCGAAAAATTGCGTTTTTTAGTCGGTTTTCCCATAAATTTCACTTTTTTTCGATTTTTGTGATGCTTATAACTTTTGAATGGAAGGTCGTAGAAAGCTTGAAGACGTCTTATTTTGTAGAGAATTGGCTGCTCTATAATTCTAGACTGTTAAAACAAGTTTTCTGTTGCGGCTTCTGGATGTTGAAAAAGCAGGGTTTCGATTTTCCAGAAACCCTACTTAGGGAAAATTCATGATAGTTATCATTTTCTCGAATTGTTGTTGGCAACAATATTCTCTATTCAAATCACTATTTGGATTCTTTCTAGCACTTAAGGCTATGAAAAAAAATCCAAATTACATCTTGTTGAACAATTTTGGGACCCACTGTATATATATATATATACATTATAAATTTTATTCAAATAATCTTTATGTTAAAAACAAAAGACAAAAACTTTATTTTTTTAATCTTGCTGTTCCAAAGAAAGACATAACATAAGTAAGACATGAGAAAAAAAAATAACATGAATTATACATAATAATAAAACATTTCAATATATCAAATGTTAATTGAAATTTTAAGTTACTATACAATATGGTATAAGTGTATTTGAATTAATATTCTCTCGACATAATGGACATCGAGATGATATAGCTAATAACTGACGACTACATAATGTACACATAATATGACTACATTGTGTAATTATTAAATAAACACCTGTATATTGTAAATCAGTAAAAGTTTCTAAACATATTGGACATTCTTCAATATCAATTGATGATTGACATTCAAGTTTATTCGATGAACAATAAGAAGAATTTGATTCATCATCTGTTAAATCAATTAATTCATGAATATTTTCAATATTTGTTTCATTATTTTCGATTAATTCATTATGAGGTGATGATATTAATGTATTGATTGTTGGTATTCTTGATAAAAAATTATTATTATCAGTTACATCAATGATTTGATTATCATCTGAATCAGAATCTGAAAGTATTATCATTCTATGATCAGTTTGTTGACATGTACTATTCATATTTTCAGGTATAATTTCAATACTATCATTATGATCATTTTGACTAGAAATTTAAAAGGAAAGAAGAAATATTTAATTATCTTCTATTGAATGATAAATCTTCGAACCTATTTAATGAATTAATATGTTCATTAATAATGATTTCTTCGTCAGGTTCATTGATTTCATCTGATGTTGATAAGAAAGAAATAAGAAGACAATGACGTTTAATTATTGATTCAGTTTCATCAAATAATCGTTTCATTCTTGTAGATTATTATTTCAATCAAATGCAACGATTTTTTTAAAGTATACTTTAGATATTTTCCTAGAATGATTCATTTATTTATTTCTTAGAATAGATGACGCTGTTTGTTGTACTCTAGTTTTTATTAATAAAAAAAAAAAAAATTTTTTAAAACAAAATTATAATTTTATTTTAATATTTTAATTTTTTTTTCAGTTAATATTCAAAAAAGTGACAATTGAACATATAATTGGTTATTCATGATACATAATGCAATAGAGCAAATAAACATATACGCGAAAACATGATTATTCGTCGAGTTATTTTTCTCATTGATTACGAATGAGAAGTCTCACCTGACTAATGATTATGTTTACACCTAGAAAGATTTCGTATATACTAATACTAACCAGAACACCTACTACTTTCGATATACATACTTTTTAAATTTTGCATAGAGTAATAGAAGAATGTACATAGTAAACTTTCCTGAATAAGATTAAATATTATTTTCAAGATGATTATATGATGGAAAAATCCTAAATTTAATGTATTCTTTTTTTTTTTTGGAGTATATTACTTTTTATCTTTTATCATTTAATTTCTTTTTGATAGTATGAGAAAAAAAAAAAGAAAAATATATTTTCCGATTATCATCAATACATATATTTTTTTTTTCCTGTCAATAGATTCTTTATAAAACATCGTCATTGCACTTTTTGACACACTCTACTTACGACAAGGTGATGTATATTAGAGCCCGTTGGGTTGGTTTTGAATCCGATGGGTTTCTAGTCATCCAAGGAATGCGTTCGATGCGCTAGTCATTGAATACAAAAAATTGAAAAAAAAAGTATTTCGTACCTTTGGACCGACTATTCGGTTTCGATTAGAAAATTATCATTGAGAGTATCAAAGTACGGTTCGACCAGGTCCGGGTTTAAAAAAATGTTCAATAAACTGGGTCTGATTTCGACGAACTCTAGCATACACATACACTTTAGTAGTACAAACAAAGTGTAAAAAAAGATTTTTTTTTTTTTTTTTCATAATAGATTATATAATATAACTATATATATATACAATATGTCTTATCGAAATTATCCATCTCGTGAAGGCGGTAGACATCATACTGATCCAACATCATCACGATTTAATACAAAATCAAAATATCATCAACGTGGTCGAGGAACAAATCGTCCAGTACCAAATCGTCGTCCAACTGCTGGTGATGATCTTGATGGAATAACTGTATCAATTGGTCGTAATTTAACAACAGGTGGAATAGATTCTCAAGGTTCATCAATAAGAGGACGTATTGTTAGTCGTTCTCATGCTCCTCAACAAATTCATCCATCTCGAATGAATGATCGTGATCATAATCAACCAAGATGGTGGCGAATATCAATACCACAAGCAGGTGCTATTGGAAAAGAACGTGTTATGTCAACACTTAAAGTTAATTGTCTTCGACAATTTCAACCTTATCATGTAAATTAATAAAGGACAAAAAAAACGAATTTTTATTTTATTATTATTTTTTTGTTTTTGTTTAGTATTTTATTGATCGTGATACTAATACTGGTGTTTTCTTTGTCAATAGTCAACAAGATGCTGATATGTTAAAACGTGCTAATAGAAAAATTGAAGTTCAAAATTTAGGCACAGTGAGTTAAAATTATAAAACAAGATGATTTATTATGAAAGTTTTTTTTTTTTTTTTTTTCTAGCTCAATATCATGGTTAGTCAAACATCAAGTCCAGTACCTTTGTTAGACGAAGATTTACGACGACATTTTAGAGTAAAATAACAAAAAAAAAAAAAAAAAATAATATTTTTCCTATATTTAATATTTAAGGATTATATTTGTAATCGTCGATTTAATGCACAGACATTTCAACTAAATTTATCTAATTTAGTTGATGATGAAGGTAATTTTAAGAATTTATATATGAAAGAAAACAAAAAAACAAAATTTAACAATATTTTGTAGAACTTAGTGCTCTTGGTATATATCCTCAACTAAATAAACAAGCATTTGTTCGTGATGTTGTTGATATAATCAACAAAAATCTTCATATGGTTAGTATTTATAATTATAATTATTAATGAATACAATCAAAATAGGCACAGCAGACTGCAATATGTTTTTTTTTGTTTTCAGAGAATGTACTATGTAATACTCTATCAGAATTGCTAAATCAAATATTTAGAGTTGTTTTTGAAATTTTAATAGATTAATTAAGGTAAACATGTGAATTGTTATGCGATTTTTCATCATAAGAAATCTCAAATAGTTTTAAATAGAGAATATAAGTTTACGATTTATTATTTCTTGAGTAGAACACTTGAAACAAAGCAGAGATATAGTCAGTTTTCGGAAATAGAAAAATTTTTATCTATGCTAAATTTAAATATAAGAACTTTGTATTTACTTATTATAGCACAATTTCTGATGAAAGAACTTTTCTAGTATTGTAATTGAAAATATTCTTTAAAAATCCGTGACTTTATTGCATGAATAGCTAGATCATATGCTTCTAGTCCATATTTACACTGATGCTACAAAAAAAGTATGAAATGAAAAGAAGATTTTATTGAGAAATACTCATTTATTATTTATCAAATATCTACAACTTAGCAAACAATTTTTTTTTTATACTGGCAAATACATTGTTCTTATTTAGAGTATCAACAAAGGCAATATCCCTAGTTTTCAATAATTTAAAGTCATAATTCCTAAGTTTTCAAATGTCTAAAACAGCTCTAAACATTTGATGCTACAATTCTGATAGAATATTACATTGATCATTAACAAAAAAAAATAAAAATCACCTTCCTATGAGTCTCTTAGGTGATGTATAGTATTAGTGTAAATACTAACAGTAATTCACCAGCACTGACATCCACTTTCGTTGTAACATAGAGACATCCACTCTATCAAAATATGCCTTTTTTTTGTAGCAATCTATTCCAGTGCTTCAATGAACACTAATAAGAGAACCTCTCCAAAGGTCAAATGACTTTCCGATGAAAGATCGAGTTTCAAACTTTGCTTTTACACAAAGAGGAAATTTCAAATATTCTATATCTTAAGAAAAGAGGTACTAGAAAAACTACAACTTGTCCAATGGACTAATCTCATTGAGAACTTTGCTCGTGCAAAATTCGAAGTTGAAACTCGAAAGCAAACATCATTCCGATCGAAAAGCGATTTACTACCAGAAGGGGTTCCTTCTTGAGTTGGTGACGTCAGTTAACTGAAACTGCACATTCCCTTGAGATATTTGCTGTTTGTCCTGTTCTATTATCTGCGTGTATTTTGAAGAATTACAATTCATATAATATATTGTTTTTTTTAGACTCGTCAATTGGATTTAGGTTCAAATAATATATCAAATTTATATGAATTTCGTAATCTTCAATTAAATAATCTTGAACAACTTAGTCTTGCTTCAAATCAAGTAAAATTATTTTATAATATAAAATTTAAAGTTTTCAATATGTATTTCATTTTTATATTTAGTTAAGAGCTTTTGAAGAACTTGTTCATCTTAAACAATTAACTCATCTTACTCATCTATTTCTCAAAGATAATCCATTAACATCATCAAATAACAAACGAAGTGTTTCACGCAACGATCTTATCAGGTCAGATCTATGAAAATTTCTTTTTTTCTTTTTTTTGTTTTTCATGGACACTCATAACAGACAGAGACAAATATAATAAAAACATGTTCTTAAATCGAACGTTTTATTTTTTTAAATTAAATTTTTTTCTTCTTTTCTCATTACTCATTCAAATTCATTCAAATAAGAGAAAAAGAAAATACATTAAATCAATGAAATTCAGAATACAAAAAAAAAAAAAAAAAAAACCAAGTCTAATCGTAATCGTTTTTATCATACTAAGTGTGAGTGTGTTTGTACGTCGAAAACTTAAAATCAAGAGAGAATGAAAGAAAAATACAATGTATTGAATTTTATTCGATTGTAAATTAATTCATAGTTTTTTTTTTGTACGTCGAAAAAAAAAAAAAAACTTCTCCTTTTCCTGCAATAAAACAACAGCGATAAAAATAATTGGTTTTTTTTATTAAATTTAATAATTCATATAAAAATGGATGTCTATACATATTGATTGAATGATAAAAACAAAAACAAAAAAAATTTTTGGTTATTCGATTTTCTTATGTATTACAAAGTAATTGATGGATTTTAATTATGTCGATATTAATTTATTTATCTATTTTTAACATTTGACATCTCTAAAAATTAAATCAATATTAATCTTATTGATTTTATTCATCAAATTAACTCAATATGATAACAACGACGAATAAAATATGATTGGATTTATTTTTATTTTATTTTTTTGTAATTGTGATGAGAGTTTTTTTTTTTTGAGAATTTTTGTAAAGATAAGCATATGTGATAAAACGATTTCGATTAAAACAATATAAATATCATAAATTAATGATTTATTTTACTAGTTAAAGAATGAAAATAAATGATTCATTGAGAACATGAAAGAAATTTAAAATGAAAACACACACATATATATAACGTTCGATTTAATCATGTATTCAAATCGCCAATAAATTACAAAAAAACAGGCGAAAAATAGATAGTTTGTTTGCTGCTGCTTGTGTGTCTATATTTTCAGTTGCATTGTGCAACAATTTTATCCATCATTGGGTCCATCTAATACCATTCTAGTACCATTCAGCAAAAATTACCACAACTTAAACGAGTCGTAAGTTATTTGTTTTTTTTTTGTAATACATAACTAATAGAATAAAACTTTTGTTTTTTTTTTTTTTTTTTGTTATTAAGGATGATATTGATCTTCCAACGAAAATTGGTTTTGGCGTTGATAATGCAATAATACATTTACCGAAAACAGCACCACATTGTGTACCACAAGAAATGCAAACATTTTTAGCAAAATTTATTGATGAATATTATCGTTTATTTGATACACGTGGTCGTAGTGAATTACATGCATGTTATCATG